CGCGAGGGCGACATGGCGAGGGGGAGGGGGAAGGACAACGCCGGGCCGGGCCGGGACCGCTGCTCTCTGCCCCGCCAACCTCCCCTCGCTGCTGCCGGCGCAGCCTACCGCTACTGCTCCCCGCCATTGGTCCAGCGACCCGGGAGGGCGGGGCGCCCCTTTCGCCCGCCTCCCTGGAGGGGCGCTCACCCAATTGCAAGTTCCGAACACTTCCACCCACCCCCACCCCCGGCGCTGGCCGCGCTGCGAGTAACCGAGCCCGGCTGCCACTCCTGCGCTCCGGCCCCGCCTCTTCAGCAAGGGCGGTTGAGAGGCCGCTGAGCAGGGCCGGTCTCTGATTGGGTGAGGGCGGCCCACTCTCCGGCTCCCCCTGGCTGGGGGCTGCCGATGCCCGGCCTGTGGGAGCGCCGCGGGGCCCGGCTGCTGCCTTGCGGGAGCACTGGGCGGGCCGGAGGGCTTGTTTGTGCACCGCCCCGGGAAGGGGGAAAGGACCTGGTCTGACCTGGGGCCCGGCTCGGCCTGGCCTAGCAAGGGGATGACCCTGGAGTGGGCTGTTGTCCGTAGCGCTGAAAGGCAACGGACGAGGTCCCATTGTGCTGGCGCGGGCAGGCGGCAGCGCAGATCCGGGCCGGGGATGACTGTCCGGGCTGCAGAGAAGGACCTGGCAGTTGCGGCGGACCCTACACTGAATAGGAGCCAACAGCTTGCCCTTGTTGCCAAAAAACCCCCCAGACGAAACAAAGGCGGCAGCATCCTGGGCTGTATAAACAGGAGCATCCCTTGGAAATCAAGGGAAGCGATTCTTCGGCTGTATTCAGCACTGGCGAGGCCTCACCTGGAGTGCCCTGTCCAGGTTTGGGCCCCACACTCCACGCAGGATGTGAACAGGTTGGAAGGAGTTCAGCACAGGGCAGCAGAAATGATCGGGGATCTGAAAAGCGAGACTTAGGAGGAAAGGCTGGAAGAGCTAGAGTTATGTAACTTGGAGAAGAGGAGACTGAAGGGTGCTTTGATAACCATCTTCAATTACATGCAGGGTGATTGTAGAGAAGATGGAGATAGGCTTGTGGCCATAGGGGACAGGACTAGCGATGGTCTCAAACTGCAGTAGGGGAAATCTAGGTTGAAGAGTGGTCGGGCGTTGAAACAGGGTACCTAGAGACATTGTGAACTTGATCCTTGGAAAC